AAAACGTTATCGGACATCACGATGTCCCAGGTCGTTCTTCCAGTCTCGGACAGAGCCCCTCCTGTCTCGGCAGGCTCTCGAACCATGGCCAGGAGGCCATCGAGCGTCGTCAGCCGCCCCAGCTCGCGCGACATGGATCGCGCCTTGGCGCTGCGCGACGACAGCCGCGGGCCGCGCCCGCGGAGCGACCGCCGCCGCCCAGGTCCCGCCCGTGCGTCGCCAGAACCACAGGGCGGGCGCCGCCACCGTGAGCCGCGCCGCGGCGCCACGGTGCGGCAGCCGAGGCGGTCGCCTCGCCAGGAGGACTACGACGACGACGACGAGGACCTGTTCGAGGATGAGAACGAGTCCTCTGGCAGCGAGCGCAAGTTCAGCGACGACGACGCCATGGCGGAGGACAGGACGCCTGCGAAGAGCCGTGGCCACAAGAAGGCTGGCTCGGACGCAGGCCGCGGCAGCCGCGAGAGCCTGGGGCGCTGCCTGAAGAGGCATGCGGGTGCCCATTCGGGGCGGGGAGGGAGGAGTAGGAGGCTCAGCCTGAAGGAGGAGGTGGAGTGGGAGGAGGACGGCGCGGGAGAGGGTAAGGAGGAGGGAGGAAGTGGAGGAGAATGGTAATGATGATGCTGATGTTGATGATGATGATGATGCTGCTGATGATGATGATGCTGATGATGGTGGCGGTGCTGATGACGGTGAGGGTAATTATGGTGATGATGATGACGATGGTGATGACGATGATGATGACGATGATTATGATGCTGATGCTGATGCTAACGATGACGCTGGTTTTGGTGATGATGATGCCGCCGACGATAATGATGATGATGGTGATGGTGATGAAACGGGCAACGAGGATGATGACGATGCTGATGGTGATAATGATGGTGGTGATGACGATGATGATGAAGATGGTGATGTTGATACTGATGCTGCTGATGATGCTGATGATGGTGATGCGTATGACGATGAGGACGGCGACGATGCTGATGATGCTACGGATGATGATGATGATGATGATGATGAGTGCGATTCGGATGCTGATGATGATGTTGAGGACGGCAGCGATGCTGGCAATGACGATGTTGTTAATGATGATGGTGTTGTTGCTGCAGATGTTGATGATGAGGCTGACGATGGTGTTGTTGATGATGATGTGCATGCGTATGGTGATGCTGCTGATGAGGTTGATGACTATGATGATGATGATGATGATGCTAATGATGATGCGGTTGCTGAGTATGGTGGTGATGCTGATCATGTTCATGTTGATGATGCAGACGATGCTGATGCTGATGATGCTGCTGGTGATGTTGATGCTGATGCGGATGCTGATGATAATGACGCCGATGACGACGATAACGATGACGATGGTGATGGCGACGGCGATGATGCTGATGATGGCGCGGGGGTGGAGGAAGAGGAGGAGGAGGAGGAGGAGGAGGAGGAGAGGAGGACGAAGAGGACGAGGAGGAAGAACGGGGTGCCGAGGAGGAGGAGGAGGAGGAGGAGGCGGGGGAGGGGGAGGCGGATGCCGATGGGGAGAATGAGGACGACGGCCATGATGGTGATGATAATGATACTGAGGGTGATGAGGAGTGGGGGACATAGGGGGGGTGGTGCGGATGAGGGCGGTGATGAGGAGGGCGCGACGTGGGTGGAGGATGATGGCCCAGAGGATCAGCAGGATGACGAGGAGAAACGATGAGGAGTGAACGGGGAAGGCGCGTGGGCATGGGTAGTAGGATGGCGAGGCGGTTCTAGACGATGACGTGGGGGGTGGTTTAGGGTGGATCGAATATGGAGCGGGGTTGGAAAAGGGTTGGGCGAGAACGAGGAGGATGTAGGAAATGCGAGGGCGAGGGCAGATAACGGGATGAGGAGCACTGGTGGCAATGATGAAGATGCTGAGGGTGGCGGGAGTGATGGCGATGCTGGCAATGGTGATCGTGCCCCACACCACCCCCGCCCCCCCCCCACACACACACGCGCGCACACGCCCCACCCCAACCAGCAATTCCCGCACTTGGCAGAACGGTTCGGCCCCATCCGTCCCCCCCTCCCTCGGCGTCGTTCGGCCCTCTCCAGCCTGCATCGCCGCTTGGCGCGTCGTTCGGCCCCGACCGAACGACGCGCCAAGCGGCGAGGAGGGTGGGGAGGATAGGCGCCGAACGGCTCGTAGGAGGGGCGAAGGAGTGTGCCGATCGATTCGCCCAATGGCGAGCGACGGCGATGGGGCGACTGACGGGCGACAGCGTTCTGCCACCCGCCCACCCCCCCCCGCCGCCCCGTGCGCCAGGCAGAGCAGCGACGACAAGTGGTTCAGCAGCGCCTACCGCACCCTTGGAGGGTCCAGCGGGCTCAAGCGGAGCCAGCACCTGAAGATCCTGGAGACGATCGACGCGAAGTACTTGGCGGCGCCGCGGTTCAGCGACAACAGCGACGTGCACTTGGCAAGGCCGACTGCATCATGTGGTGATGGGCCCTCGTTTTGAAGAGACTCCACACCGCGTCTCCTCTCCTCCTCGCCTCTTCCCGTCTCTCTCCTCCCATCCCAGCCCGTGCCCTTCGCATGCCATCATCATCATCAGCATTGTCATCATCAGCAGTAGCTGCATCATCATCAACATCATCATCTTCATCACCATCAGCACCAACATTAGCATCAACAGCAGCAACATCACCCGTCTAATCATCATCAACATCACCATCGACATCGTCATCATCGTCTTCATCGTCGCCATCACCATCAGCACCACCGTCAAGTTCCTCAGCATCACCGTCACCATCGTCATCATCATAAGCATCATCACCATCAACATCATCATCAACATCATGACACCACACGATGGTGGCGCCCACATGCGAACGGTTCCATTGGGGCCTGAGGTGTCGCTCCCGATGGGGCCACGGAGCGCGTGAGGTGTGTGCGTGTGCCGAAACGGGGGTGGCGCCCATATGCGAACGGTGTCACTGAGACCTTGGTTGAAGCTCCCTATGGGGCCACGAAGCGTGTGAGGGATGTGCCCCACATGCGAGCGGTGCCACTGAGGCCATAGCTGGGGCTCCATCTGGGGCCACGAAGCGTGTGAGGGGTATGCCGACACGAGGGCGACGCCCACGCGCGAACAGTGCCATTGGGACCTTAGCTGGAGCTCCCTGATGGGCAGCGAAGCGTGTGCGGGATGCGCCGCAACGGGGGTTGCGCACACATGGGGACGGTGACACACGGGCCTTCGGCGGAGCTCCCCATGGGGCCACGATGCGTGTGAAGGGGGGTGCCGAAGCTGATGCTGATGATGTTGATGATGGTGATGATGATGATGAGATGGTGATGATGATGATGGTGAATGGTGATGCTGGTGATGCTGATGGTGGTGATGCTGGTGATGGTGATGCTGATGTTGCTGATGATGATGCTGATGAGTATGATGATGCTGGTGATGATGCTGATGCTGATGCGGATGGGTATGATGATGATGCGTACGGTGATGATGCTAGCGATGTCGATGACGACGATGGCGATGACGATGATGATGCTGATGCTGATGCTGATGCTGATGCTGATGCTGCTGATGATGATGCTGATGATGATGATGATGCTGTTGGTGGCATGCGAAGAGCAGTGGCAAGGATTGGAGGAGGGAGGGGGAGAGGACAGGAACGGAGCGGAGATGAGAGGAGGAACGGAGCGAGAGATATAGGAGACGCGGGGAGGAGCCTCTTCAAACCGAGGACCCAACACCACAGGATGGTCGGGAAAAACATGGTCAGGCTGATCTTCGTGCTAACGAAGAAGCCGCCCACGACGAAGCTCTGCAGCTTCGTGACGAAGAACAAAAAGGAGTTTCGCGAGCAGATGAAGCTGCTGTACGACCTGCAGCTGGAGGAGAACACCGTGTCGCCCGCCCAGCAGCTGCCCCTCTTCGACGAGACCGCGATGAAGGACCCGAGCATGCAAACGGGGGGCACAGGGATGAGGGACATGAAAATGGGCAGCATGAGGATGAGGATGGAGAGGATACGGAGGGGGAGGGGAGGAAATGGGAGTGGGGAGATGAATGCGAGTTGGGCGATGATGAGGGTGGGGAGAGGGGGGGGGGAGGAGAGGAAAAGGTGAGGACGAGGACGGATGCGAGAACGGTGAGAAGATGGTTGATGAGTATGCTGATGATGACGATGATGACGATGCCGACGATGATGATGATGATGAGGATGATGATGGTGCTGGTGATGATGGCGATGGAAATTATGAAGCTGTTGGTGATGATGCTGTTGGTGACACTGATGATGACGATGATGATGATGATGGTTGTGATGATGATACTGCTGATGTTGCTGTTGATGTTGATGATGATCATAATGCTGATGGTACTGATGACGATGGTAATGCTGGTGATGCTGACGGTGGTTATGCTGCTAGTGATGATGATGCTGATGGTGATGATGATGCTGATGCTGATGATCGTGGTGATGCTGATTATGATGATGATGATGATGATGATGATGAGTATGGCGATGCTGCTGTTGCTGATTGTGACGACTACGGCGGCGACGTCGACGATGGTGACGACGATGGTGCTGATGCTTCTGACGATGCTGATGAAAATGCTGCTGCTGCTGATGCGGATGCTGCTGATGCTGATGCTGGCGAAGATGAAGATGACGATGCTGATGATGAGACTGATGCTGATGCTGCTGCTGATGATGATGCTGATGATGTTGCTTGTGCTGATGCTGCTGATGATGATGATGCTGGCAATGGTGCTGACAATGTCGCTGATGAGGCTGTTGATGCTGCTACTGGTAACGAGAATGATTATGAAACGGATCATGTAAAAACATGAAGCGAACAAAAAGAGGGGGAGGAGGATGAGGATGGGGAGGAGGAGGAGGAGGAGGAAGATGAGGAGGAGGAATGCCGATGACGATGAGGACGATGAATTTGGCGATGGGGACGGGACGAACGTTAGCAGCACAGCAACGCGGTCTCGCCCCACCAGGAGTTGGCGATGAGCAGGGGCTGGAACGACGAGTGGATGAAGTCGCCGAAGGACCAGGCCGTCTCGGCGGGCTTGCAGGAGCTGGCCGCCGCTCAGACGGCACAGATGGAGCAGCTCCTCAAGCAGGCTCTCGGGCGAGCCTCAGACGCCGCTGCTGCCCCGTCGAAGCGCCAGAAGAAGGCCAAGGACACCAGCGAGACGAAGGCAGCCGAGGAGGCGCACTCGGCGACGGCGGCCGAGCCTGGGGTGCTGGCGGCAGCGCAGGTTGCGGGCGGTTGCATCGCCGAATCTCGGCGCCCACTGCTGCCCTCACCTCCCGCGCCCCCCCCTCCCCCCCCCCCGCCCGCGCTTCGAAGCGCGCGGGGCAACGGGGCGGGGGGGGGAGGGATTGCGGGGTGGTGCGGGGCGCGCAGCAGGGCGCCGCAGGCGCGCGCGATGCACCGTTCGCCCGAGGTGGCTGCTGACACGGCGAAGGCGCCCGCGGCGGGCGCTGGCGCTGCCGTGCCAGCCGCGCCGCAGGCGCCTGCCGTGCAGGACGCGAAGGGCGCTGGCGGCGGCGGCACGGCTGGCGATGAGAACGGCGAGACGAAGGGCGAGAACGGCGAGACGAAGGGCGATGAGGACAAGGGCGGCGGAGCTGACAGCACGAGTGACTAGGGCTAGGGCGACGCCCTCGCTGCGAGGCCCACGGCGGCAACCTCGACAGCAGCGGCGGGTGAAGCCGCGTCGCCTGCGGCCTCGCTCGAGCAGACTGGTCGCCCCGACAGCGGGCGACTGCGGCTTGGGATGATGAGAAGGATGGGTATGGTGATGGGGCGGGGTGAGGACGACGGGGGCGGGGGGATGGATAAGGATGAGGATGAGAATGAGGAAGAGGAAGAGTATGCGGGTGACGATTGTGATGATGCGGATGTTGATGCTGATGATGCGGGTGATGCTGATGATGTTGATGATGATGACGCTGATGGCGGTGATGCCGATGCTGATGCTGATGCTGATGCTGATGATGATGATGATGATGACGATGATGCTGATGATGCTGATTCTGATTATGATGATGATGATGATGATGATGATGATGCTGATGATGATGATGATGATGATGATGATGACGATGATGATAGTGATGATGATGAGGAGGATTAGGAGGAGGAGGAGGAGGAGGCGGCGGGGGAGAGGGATGGGGAGGATGGAAATGAGGAGGAGGAGGGGCGGCATCAGGACAATGAGGGGATATCGGGGCGATGCGGAGAATATCAGGACGATGAGGGGGTCAGTAGGACGATGAGGGGGATATCAGGACGATGGTGATACGAATGATGAGGCCGAGGCCGACGAGATGATGACCAGGAGGATGTGGAGGAGGAGTGGGAGGGCAGGGATGAGGATGATGATGCGCAGATGGGGGGCCCAACGAGTGGGGGACGGGGTACAGGGGGTCGGGGTTGGTGGCCGCGAGCTGCTCAGCGTAGGATCTCGATGGCATTTTGCCTCGTTCCTGAGATCCTGGCTGGCCTGAGTTGCTCGGTGCTGCAGGCCGCGCTCTATGAGCTATGGTTTAACCGAGCGGTGCATGTATCATGCGATAGGCTGGCTGGAACCCCGCGCACCCCCCCCCCCCCCCCCCCCCCCCCCCCCCCCCCCCCACCCCCCCCCCCCCCCCCCCCCACCCCCCCCCCCCCCCCACCCACCCCACCCCACCCCACCCCACCCCACCCCAACCAATACCCATCCTCGCTCCAACCCCCATCCACCCACCCAAGACCCGTGACCCCAGCCGATCGCGGGATCGCACTTGTCCCGTTCGGGTGCGTTACCATCCTTCCCGAAGGAAGGCGTGCGCTGCTGCGTGTCGGGGGCGAAATGGCTGACCTCCCACTCTGCCTATGTCCGACGCCAACCCGCTCACCCCGACCCTGGTGCAACTGCCGCGTCTCCCCCGCCCGCTCGCTCGGGAGGGCGGCGGCCGCGCGCTGACGCGTTCATCGGCCAAGCCCGCCCTGGGCCCATGGATCAGGGGCATGCGCGCGCGCCGTCCTGGACGGCGCGCGCGCGAATCCTCTGACAGTAGGGCGGGCTTGGCCAAGGCGCGCGTCGGCGCGTAGCCGACGTCGTCCCGCTCGCCCCCCCCCCCCCCTCGCGAGGGCGCGAAGTTAATCGCGTTTCGCGCGTCGCGGCCTCGCTCAGGGAGGTGCCCGTCCCCTGGGGGAGGCGCGAAAGCGCGACGAGGACTGTGCGAAGGCAATGAGACGGAAGCAGTCGACTGCTCCGCCGCGTCCAGCCGCCTTGCAAGTCTCCCAATCAGAGAGCAGAGTGATACCTGATCGTGGGCCCCGAAACTCTGAGTATTCTGACGTTGAGTGGCGCAGCTGCTGGGGTGCAACTTACAGCGTGTAACTTCCAGAATGCACGGCATGGGGCGGGGGAAGGAAACCCATATGTAAGATGCTAGCCCCTCCTTCAGCACACAATGGTGCATGCCTCGCCCACCACCCTCTCCAGAGGCTCCGTGGGCGTCCCAACCTTGGCTTGAGGCTCTCAATCGCTCTCCGAAACTTTCAAGGCAGTCTAGGAAGTCCACCACGGCCGCCAAGATGGTCTTGGACCGCCCCAGTACTTACCCAAGAGCCCCTCAGAAGCGCCCAACACGTCTCAAGACGCCTCCAGGAGAGCCCGCAACACCACCCGATACTCTATCCAAGGTGGCCCCGAGAGGCCCAACGCACGGAAATTCCACACATATGTCGTGATCGGCTTGTCAGGGCAAACCGTGCAGTTGGGTCCGCGTTTTCTCGGGTCATCCTGCCGTCGTGGAAACGTTCTGTGGGTTGGTCCCCTCGCCGACGCGGCGCACGGCTGCTCGGATTGAGCCGTGTCCGACGGGGCCCCGATGCTAACGTTGCCGCGCGTCGGCACCATCACCTGAACATCACATCATCATTGTAGCCATTTTGGCTCTAATGAGGCACGCGCGCCCCTTTTCACTCAAAGTTAGCTGCATTGACTTCGAATGCAAGTGTTATCTGCGTAGCGGCGATGCCGCTGGTGGCGACGACCCTCAGCTGCTGGGGGCATGGGTGGAATGGCGGTACGTGCATAGTTACTTGGGCCGCAGCATCGAGCTCTGCGAGTGGTTCAGGGACAGGGGGTGCAGAGAGATGTCCCCGCAGTGGTTGCAGCTGCACGGGCTGAACAGTAGCGCTGTCATCAGGGCGCCCAGGCATTACGAGGCCGCTGGTGTCGAGCCCCCTGTCGCGGCTGGCGTGCGCGAGGACGTGGTGAACGCAAAGTGGATGTTCGGCGCCCTCCTTCGGGCAATGTCGAACCGAAAGCACAAGGCTGAACGTGCAGCTAGGAGAGCCCGCCGCCTCGTGGAGCACCTGCTCAAGCTGGCGCTGCACGACGCGCGGCACCACGTGTTCATGTTCCCACTCTGCGTCGGAGGTGTTGATGGCTGTCATCCACTTGGGATGCGTCTGGACGGGTCAGATGACTTGATCGGGGAAGTCGCTGGCGATGTATTGACAGCCCTCGGTCACACATCCGAGCACGTCGACATCATGGACATCCTAGAAGGTATCGGCAGGTCCGTGAACCAGAAGAACGTGCGTCACGGAGCAGGCTTTACAATGCAAGCGCTTCTCCAACACATGGAGATCTTGTTCATCGGTGCCGTGGCTGCCCGAGGCTCTGAGCTGGGGGTCGGCAGCGGGGGTCCGAGCGTACTCTTGAGACGCTTGCAGTGCAGCGGCACCAGAGGATTCAGGCGGCCCGACCACGACTCGATCAGGCAGCTCACGCTCGACTCGGTTAGGGATGGGGGCTGTTCCAATCCAGTTGCCAACCTCATGGCGAACAGGTGGGCGGAGCACCTCTCAGGGGTCGGCTCCACCACAGTGCGAAGAGACGTCGAGGCGATCGTGCAGGAATACACCCACATGACCAACCAGGCGCTCGGCGGTGCGCGTCGGGTCGGCATTGCCGCCGACGAGTCGACGTTCGCTGGGCAGAGCAATTTCGTTGTCACCGCCGTCGACCTCGGCGCGGGCGGGCTTGCGTGCTACCTGCCGTTGCAGGACAGCTGCGGGCGCTAACGCATGCTCCCCTCATCCTCCGCCTCCTCCTCACCTCCCCGCCCTTGAGGGGGGTAATATGAGGGAGGTCACGATGATGAGGAGGACGGAGGTGCTGCTGGCGATGGTGATGGTGATGGCGATGATGAAGACGAGGGGGAGGAGCATGAGGATGAGGAGGAGGAGGCGGAAGAGGAGGGGGAGGAATGGGCGGAGGCCAGGGAGGAGGAAGGTGCGAGCGGAAGTACGAGGAGGAGGATGAGGCGGACGAGGCTACACATGGTGATGATGATGCTGAGGGTGCTGGTGATACTGCTGGTGATAATGATGAAGGTAGTGAAGATGATGATGATGCTGATGATGGTGGTGCTGCTGTTGTTGATGCTGGTGGTGGTGATGATGCTGATGATGCGTCTGATGTTGGTGAGGATGATAATGGTGGTGATGATGGTGATGATGATGCTGAGGATGTTGCTGATGATGTTGGTTATGCTGCTGATGGCGTTGGTGAGGATGATGCTGCTGCTGATGATGATGCTGATGCTGATGATGACGATGCTGCTGGTGATGACGATGTTGATGATGATGCTTCTGTTGGTGGTGCTGATGTTGGTGGTGATGATGGTGTGGTGATGGTGATGGTGATGCTGACGCTGATGATGCTGATGATTATGATGATGATGCTGATGGTGATGATGATGCTGATGCTGACGCTGCTGCTGTTGATGTTGCTGATGATGATGATGATGGTGATGATGATGATGGTGATGGTGATGATGATGATGATGATGATGATGGTGATGATGATGATGATGATGATGATGATGATGATGATGGTGATGGTAGTGGTGATGGTGATGGTGATGCCGATGCTGCTGATGACACCCCGCAACCGTCTCGCCCAAGCGGGCCGCTCGCGCTCGCGCGCGCTCGCGCGCGATGTCCTCGCCGCGCGATGGCCTGCTTCGCCCGAGAAGAACGTCGGCGCCGCCGAGACAGGCGGCCCCACAACCACCCAAGGCGCCGCCACCCGCGGCCCTGCTGCAGACGGCCAAGTGTCCGCCGCCGCGGCCGCGGGTCTCGGTGGAGACAGCAGCGGCGGACGCGGCGGTGGAGGCCGATGCGGCCGATGAGGGCGCCGCGGAGGCCGAGACGGCCGCCGAGGCCGCATCGGCCACCGAGGTCGACTCGCCCGCCATGCATGCTGAGGAGGCCGAGTTGGCCCACGAGCTCCAGCAGCTCGTCAACTCCGCCGCGGCGCGGGAGCGCTGGCGCGACGTCGCCCGCGCCCGCGCCCGCGCGGCACACGCAGACCTCCAGTATTTCGTGCCCGCGCTGCAGACGGCGTGCGCCACGCAGCGGCAGTTGCGGGCAGCTGAGGAGGCCAACGCTGTGGCCACTGAGCTCCTGCGCATGGCCACTAATGAGTTGGAAACTCGATGCTGCGACGTGCGGGCGGCGGAGGCGCTGGCCTGCGAGCTGCGCCCGCCCACTGGCGAGGAGGTGGAGGCGATCAACGACGCGACCGCCTCGCCGCAGCTTCCCTGAGGACGCCCAGCGAAAAGCCAAACTGGCAGGGGAGGA